TTTTATATAAAGGTCGAGTCCAAAAGTCTGAGACCGCCAGTGGAAATGATTTTGTTTATGCATTGATTTATAATTTTATATGCATAAATGATTAAAATATATTGAAAAATAATTTAAATGGAAAAATATATAGAAAATAAGCTAAACATAAAACAAACAAACGTGTTATAGTTGATTAAAAAAATGACAATCAAATCATAACAGAGTCAAAAGTTAAATAAAAAAGTTTTGAAAAAGCTAAAACAGTATTAATTTCAGAAAACTTTATGGTCAAGTGTTACATGATTAGAGTGATTTATATTCGTTTTATATTTTCTCATTAATTGTATTTTAATTATAATAAATTATTCAAATTTTACACAACAATTTCAGTAAAGCTAAAGCTAAAGCTAAAAAATAAACAACACAAAAATAAAATAACATGCACACACATATATATATATATACATGCATAAACTCATGTGTGTGTGTGTTATTTTATTTTAGTTGTTTATAATTCTAATAATAGAATAATTTGTATAATTTAGAATTTTTAATTAATCCAATTAAAATTATATATATATATATATATATACATAGAAGTTGACCATTTGAATTGCATTAAATAAAAATTCAAAATTATATGAATCAGAATAACAAATAGAAAACTAAAAACTTAGTTTTATAAAACCTTAAATAAAATAAAAACTAATTTCAGAAAATTTGATTTTGAAAAGTCACATTATCAGACTTTTCACTTGACATTTTGAATTATTATTATTATTTATTTCTGCTCACACATCAGTGCGGCTCACACTGTTCTCTGGGGTGTGTGAAATGTGCCAATAGTTCTGTATTTACAGTAATTGTTAGTGTGTTGATAATGACATCAGGGCAGTATGTGTCTGTTGCCCGAAGCGACGGAGCGAGGTCCCATCCATACGTCTGTGGCTCGATGTGGCCCCGTATGAGCTCTCACACACGTGTACTCGATGGGACCTCGGCTTCATCACTTCCTGTGCTACTGTGTGCCAAGATGTATTGTAATCTAATAACATAAAATAACATGGTCTATGATGTTATTTATGTTATTCTCTCTGAGAAGAACGCCGGTAAACCTGGCGGTGTTGAAACTGAGTGAAGCAGGAGTGCTAGACAAACTCAAAAATAAATGGTGGTACGATAAGGGCGAGTGTGGACCCAAGGACTCGGGAAGTAAGGTCAGTTCCTGGACGGAAAACTGCAACAAAACCTGAAAACCGCAGCTCTGAAAGACAGTAGTCTTAACATGTCACTGTCACGTCATACAGATTTGTTTTGTTTGAAGATGGAAGTGCCTGAGAATCTGTAGAATGTGACATCACAGCTCAAACAGCGACGGAACTCTGCACTATGATGTCATACACAGGGTTCCTGCACATTTTCAAATTCAAAATTCCATTCATTTCCCAACTGAAATTTTCAAACTTCTAGACCGAATTTAACATAAATATCATCTGTAAATATTTTCTCATGTTATTATTATCAAGTGATAGCATGCATTTACTGTACATAAAGAGAAAGAAGCCTAAGGGCTGCACGATACCGTAAAAATGAATATATCGAATCAATAAAATTGTGGCAACCGATTACAAGCAAAATTATTAATTAAATGTAACAAATTAGAGTTGAGTAATAATTCATCAAATTAATTCCATAAAAGTTAACCGTTTAAAATGAGTCAAATTTACACAAAAAAAATTAACAAAAATATCTGAATAACAGATGGACGTCAAAGATGAATTAATCCTAACCCTAACCCTAAAGTCTATTTTATATTGCCAACAGACACCTGATGTTCACAAGCAGAATCACTGAAGGAGAAAACCGTCATGTTAAGTCGCCATTATGGTGATTGGTGTGTGTTTTAGTTGGGCTCTTAACCTTAAGTCATTAACTTTAAGTTTTGTTTGGCTGCTGTACTGAGTTATAACAGCCAGATTAACAAATAGAAAAGGGATTTGATGGTGTTGATTATGTCATTGGACATAGTTAGGTTAGGTTTACTTCATTAATTATAGTAGCACTGGGCTTACTGTAATCGGGGTCAAACAGCACAGTGCAGTCTGAATGAAATGATTGTTTCTGGTTTTAGTGGCACACACACATTCGTTCAAAAGAGACTCGCTTATGGTGAAGACAAACAGTGAAAATGTGTGCCTTGACAATCAACTTTTGCCGTGAAATCAAAATCACTCTGCTTGTATGATGCATTTTCTTGTCTCATTAATTTATATTATTTTTATTTGTAAAATTATTCATTTTATATTTTAGAAAACTGAGTAGTATGCATGCTTGTTACTGCCACTGAATAAAACAATTAAATACATTTTTTAGCTCAGTTCCATGTTATAAAGTCAGATTTGCGAGTTTTTATCTAGTTTATAGGTTATATCATGAAATTCTGACTTTGTGCGAGAGAAAAAAGTCAGAATTGTGAGACAAAAAAGTATTTTTGATTTTTTGCTTTGTGGCGGAAATAAAGCGTATTTTTCCATACTCTGTTTTATTTTTTTCCATATTTTTCCAATACTGAAAATGACTCAAATCAAATTCCATTCTTTTCCAAACTGCATAGGAACCCTGCGTACTCTTTCATGACATCATAATAGAGTTCCATTTTATTTAATGCAGCTTTGTTACAGTAAAATGAATGAGTTAATTAAAATGGACAGCTAATTATTGCACCATTAGAAGGACTACAGTGGCCAATTTTACTCTAATAATATTCACTTGTTCACTCAATTAGTCAGTAGAAGCCCATTATGGTTGTAGAAAATGTCACACGGCCATTTCATGCCATCTTAGACAGAGCCAGATTATATCAAAAATACGTTGTTGAAAAATATTTTTCATAAAATATTATTTAAAGTCCCCCTGTAGTCAATAATTTCATCCCTTAAAACTCATTTTTTATCACCAAAAGGACACATTTAAACTTTTTTCCCTCATGCCTTAAAATATCTTGAATGTAACTCGACACCCTTGCCTCATTTAGTATTTGTGTTCTATGAATATGCAAATGAGCCCCGCCCCCACTCACTCACTCACTCAGCTCAGAGATCCATTGGTTGACGATCCCACGTTGATCTGATTGGTTGATTGGTTTGGTCCTTTGTGACGTAAGCAATAAGGTACTCGATGCTGTGCTGTTAATAAAAATATTAAAGCAAAAAAAATATGTATCAATGCAACTTTCATTAAGTAAAATAACTAAAAGCTTTCCTTCCATAATAATAAAGTTATTATTTTGCTATTAGATGTCTGAATGAGTGAGTCAGTCAGTAGAGAAGACTTTTATAATGACAGGACTAAACTTGAACACAAGTATGTAGTACTACTCTAAAAATATTTTCAAGATTTGTTATCACAACATATTTTCTTTTGTCAAATCAACTTTATAATGATTTATTTAGTTGAGATAACGTATTATTTTGAGCTTCTGATGGTTAAATTAATCTCCTTCATTGTATTAACTCACTTTTTCCAGTTCAATCAACTTAAAATTTTAAGGCATCCCAAGTTACTTACTTTTTTAAGTTAAACCAACAATATTTTTTTACAGTGTAGTAATCACAACATTTTTTCTTTTGTCGAATCAACTTAAATAATTTATTTAGTTCAGATAACATATAATTTTGAGTTTCTGATGATTAAATTAATCTCCTCCATTGTATTAACTCACTTTTTCCAGTTCAATCAACTTAAAATTTTAAGGCAACCCAAGTTACTTACTTTTTTAAGTTAAACCAAGAATATTTTTTTACAGTGTAGTAATCACAACATTTTTTCTTTTGTCAAATCAACTTAAATAATTTATTTAGTTCAGATAACATATAATTTTGAGTTTCTGATGATTAAATTAATCTCCTTCATTGTATTAACTCACTTTTTCCAGTTCAATGAACTTAACATTTTAAGGCAACCCGGTTACTTTTTTAAGTTAAACCATCAATATTTTTTTACAGTGTAAGAGTGGTTGTTGGGGGTTGTGTAGTGATACACAGAACCGTCGGGTGAAGCGGTCGTGTTTTATCTTGAATAAATGTACATTTAATCATTTAGTAGACACTTTTATCCAAAGCGACTTACAACTGAGCACTAAGTCGTGAAGAGGCAACGCGAAACAATTTACAATTGCTCAGAGCAGCATAAGCCAGACAAGCGAAGATTTAAAGTAAAAGGATTTTTTTTTTTTAAATCACAGCTATTGACCAATCAGAATCAACCGTTTTATAAACTACATTAAAATCTTGATTTTCACCACAGGGGGCCTTTAAATAATTTGATCAATATATTTAATCAATACATAGATCACATATTGAATATTCATATTTTTTTGTATAAGGCTAAACCACCAAAAACGTAGCTCTTCTGTTCATGTTTGAAATCTAAATGAATGTGATTTCATTCCGTCTATAATGATGAGCAATTAAAGCTGTAACCACAGTAAGTGTAATTGAGTGTGTCTCACCACTTCTTGCATCCCTAACTCTGTGTTTTCTCCCTCACCCCCCGGTCTCCAGGACAAGAGCTCGCAGGCGCTGAGCCTGAGCAACGTGGCGGGAGTTTTCTACATCTTGGTGGGCGGCCTGGGTCTGGCCATGCTGGTGGCCCTGGTCGAGTTTTGCTATAAGTCCCGCGCCGAGGCCAAGAAACTGAAGGTGGAATCGGCCGAACTGAATTTTAGCCCCGCCCCCAGCCCGACGCACAGTGTGCAGAACTTAGCCACTTATAGAGAGGGATACAACGTGTACGGCTCTGACGCAGTAAAGATATAGGGGTAGGACAGACGGTCGCAGGGGTTCGGCAGACGTCCCGCTAATGTTGTGACCGCTTCCCATCCAAACTTTCCTTTACTTACGTTCCTTCTTTTGGTTTGTTTTTTACTCCTGAAAGAGATCCTTTCATTTCTGTCGCTTGTCGTTCCTTTCTTTGTTTTTTTTCTCTTTCGTTTGGCATTTTGTTTTTCTGGAGTTGCCTTGACTAGAACATGTTGGGATTGCATTGGTTTGGTCTTCCTGGCTGCAGTTGCACTGTTGGCTTTCTGTTTCAGACACCTGCATTAAAACAAAAGCCACAACACACACACACTCACGTATATAAACACATGGACAAACCTGACATATTACGATCTCAAATGATTACCAAACCAAACGTCTTAGCATACAACACCCTAAAACACTTTATAAAGGAATGCTGCTGTTATACTTAAAGATAAAGCTCTCTGCTATTGACCAGCAGTTCTCAACTGGCGGGTTTTAGTGGACAAAAGCAACTAACCACATAATCTTCACGATAAGTCAATCGACCCAAATTTCCAAGCAGTAAACGGTTTAACCCTTGCATTATGTACAAAAAATTCAGATTTTACGAACAGCTTGCGCCAACGAAACCATGTTTTGGCGTTTGAAAACTACCGTTTGCTAAAGACACACCGTGAAACATTAGCGCTAAAATCGTTCCCTTTGAGACGATACATTAATGGGAGGAGAGTATTTAAATGAATCACGCGAGCTTATTTATGTTTGCGCTAGTCAATTTACTGATGTTTGCGCCATTATTTAACGGCAAAAGCACGTCTTATACCAGATGCCATTTGCGTTGCTCTTGGTAGATTGTGTTGGTCATTATGGAAATGATCCAGCTGCTTCTGTTCTTTAATTTGTAAGTAAATCACACAAAATTTAGTCACTTTTAAGTTTTGCGCTCTTTTACGCGAATTTGTAAATGTAGTAAATCTGGCCCGTTTTGCGCTTTTTTATGGTGCGGCTGAAATAGACTCTAATTGGATTAAATACATTTCACCAAAAATCACACACTACATAAAAAATCTGCCAAAAACAACACGACTTTTTAAAGCTGTGTTAGACAACTTTTTCTCGAAACGGTATATTTTATGGTATAAAGTACAGATTTTTAAAAACGTGTGTAAAATGCGAAAAGCACTTATTCTGTGTGTTTTCCTAAAGCTAATAAAAATATACGCCACCAATGCGGTGTGCATTTCTTTGGATAAAAGCATCTGCTAAATGCATAAATGTAAATTAGAGAAAACTGACTATAAAAAAAATTAAACATAATAGTTGTAATTTAAATTTCATACGCACCTTTTACAATATATCAGATTTGGAAAACTTTGCATGCATGTTCATAATCCTAAAAGAAAAAAGTCAAGAAAAAAAGAGCATAAACAAATCAAACATAATATAAGGGTTAAAAATAAATCATTCTGGAAGTCTCGTAGCAAAACCAGTTGAGATCTGCTGCTAGCACTGGGTTATTTGGTAGAGTAGGGCATTATAGATCAGACGGCTGTTGGTTTAATGATGTTTGGTTGCGTTTCACTTTCTTTTGTTGTTAGTGACATCAGCAAACCAATCTATAATGCCGTACTGATACCGAATAACGTCTCAGAACGACCTCTAAACCCCCGCTTATGAAACATTAGCAGTGTGAACGTATAAAGTGTTGACTGTTACGGGACACTGTACAAAATAAAACCCTAGAATTAGCGGGCGAAGGGCTGCATGCTTGCGTTAGAAATGCAGATGTCTAGCTATGTTGTATTTTTTGAGATGTTTTCTGTATTTGTTTGTGGCGGGCTTGAGCTTTTCTCCGTTCTGTCACTGTGAATGTGTCGAGTGGATCCGTTGTGATGTCACTGTGTAATTTGCATATAGAGACAGAGCGCAATTTGGGCCACGCCCACAACGGGAGGGGTGCAATCCAACCGTCTCCATTGACTTTGCATTGCCTCCTTGTCATTTCTGACTTATAATATAATAACAAAACAGTGTCTAAAAGCTGCTATGTGACGGGGTGTACAGGCAATTGAGAGAGAGCGCTACATGTCTTACTCTGAGAACTAACGTAATCGTAACTAACGTAATAACTTTGACAAAATGTTTACTGCATACGTAGAATATTTTTAGTGCATACTGAGTGTCAGGATCCCACAATTTACCCATTTGTTCCAGTCTGTATCCTCTTGTGTGTCCTTAAATGCTCGATTTTTATAAAAGCTTGTAAAAACTTATTTCTGTATTTTTTTAGCTTGTTTGCCGTACACCTTGTCACCATGGTTTGAATCAGTTTTAGCGTTCAACGCTGTCAAATCCAATTTGGCGTGTTACTTATGTTTACTGACTTTGCTGGGGAAGTTTGTGTAAACCAAATCTGTGCAGACTTAGCACAAATACTTTTGAGTCATCATGATATTAAATACAGCGTATTTGTGCAAATGAACACACACGTCACTATACGCAACAAATAACGGAGCGCTAGTTTACTTCAATAGTAAGATTAAAAAGCATCTGGTTAACAGAAAGGACATTGTTATTTTCCAACATCCTAAATTCTTTTGATGTTCTTTGTACTGTACTGATCTGTCCACCTAAAACATATTTCTGGTGTAAAGGACAGAGATGCAAGAGGAAAGGAAGAGAAGGCTGGATGACAGGATTTTGTTTAAATATTAAATGAATGTATGAAATCCAACAACAAATATTTTGTTGGTGGTTTGAATTGTGCCCTGAATTACACATATGATGTTTGTCAATTTAAAAGATACATTTTAAAGTCAAGAAAGTCACAGTTTCATGTAAAACTGTTGAGGTATAAGACTGTGAAAATACGTAATTACAAAGACTAAAAACCTCAAAGGCGCACATTTTCTCTCAATGAATTTTCCTGAAGCTAACTTTCCTGAAGCTAATTTTACCTGAAGCTAACTTTACTGAAGCTGAATTTACTGAAGCTAACTTTACCTGAAGCTAACTTTACCTGAAGCTAACTTTACCGAAGCTAACTTTCCTGAAGCTAACTTTACCGAAGCTAACTTTACCGAAGCTAACTTTCCTGAAGCTAACTTTAACGAAGCTAACTTTCCTGAAGCTCATTTTACATGAATCTAACTTTACTGAAGCTAACTTTCCTGAAGCTAACTTTCCTGAAGCTAACTTTACTGAAGCTAACTTTACCTGAAGCTAACTTTACCTGAAGCTAACTTTACTGAAGCTAACTTTCCTGAAGCTAACTTTACTGAAGCTAACTTTAACGAAGCTAACTTTCCTGAAGCTAACTTTACCGAAGCTAACTTTACCGAAGCTAACTTTCCTGAAGCTAACTTTCCTGAAGCTCATTTTACATGAATCTAACTTTACTGAAGCTAACTTTCCTGAAGCTAACTTTACTGAAGCTAAATTTACTGAAGCTAACTTTCCTGAAGCTAACTTTACCTGAAGCTAACTTTACTGAAGCTAACTTTACTGAAGCTAACTTTAATGAAGCTAACTTTACTGAAACTAACTCTACTGAAGCTAACTTTACTGAAGCTAACTTTACTGAAGCTAACTTTCCTGGAGCTAACTTTCCTGAAGCTAACTTTACCTGAAGCTAACTTTACCTGAAGCTAACTTTACTGAAGCTAACTTTACCTGAAGCTAACTTTACCTGAAGCTAACTTTACCTGAAGCTAACTTTACTGAAGCTAACTTTACCTGAAGCTAACTTTACCTGAAGCTAACTTTACCTGAAGCTAACTTTACCTGAAGCTAACTTTACTGAAGCTAACTTTATTGAAGCTAACTTTACTGAAGCTAACTTTACCTGAAGCTAACTTTACCTGAAGCTAACTTTACCTGAAGCTAACTTTACTGAAGCTAACTCTCCTGAAGCTAACTTTCCTGAAGCTAACTTTACTGAAGCTAACTTTACTGGAGCTACCTTTCCTTTCCTATCTGTCATTGTTTCTATAGTCTGACGTTATAATCGTAACGTTACGCCGTCATACAGTGTTTTGTACCAGATTGCACACACACGAGCAGTGGATCTCGCTCGTTGTTTCGCTTCTCGGGAGATGTAGTTCATCGAGCGATTTTCACATCAAACTAAATGTTACTCTTCTGTTTTATGACAAACTGCGACTTTCTTCACTTTCAGAATTATCTTTTAAATTGACAAACATCATATGTGTAATTCAGGGCACAGTTCAGACGGAATAAAAAGATACGTTGTCTCTCGCCATTGACTAACATACATATTTTTGCCGAAATAAGGTCTCATGAGCCGCAATGCAAAGTCAATGGAGATGGTTTGATTATCCCTCCCCCCCGGTGTGGGTGCGTGGCTTTCAGATGATGACGTTGCTCTGTCTCTATTGTTTCCCCTCCCCCCAAGAGTTCCACATATTCTGACTCCGCCTCTCGTCCCGCCCCCTTCTCTAGCTCACCTTCTCGGAAGCCATGAGAAACAAGGCCCGCTTGTCAATCACGGGCAGCCTGGGGGAAAATGGGCGTGTCCTGACGCCAGACTGTCCTAAGGCCATGCGCTCTGGCCCCTCCTATCGACATGGCCCCGCCCTCGCCGTGGTGTCCGACCTCCCATAGAAACCAAAAACTCACCTTGTGCCTTAAACCATCTTACCCCTCTACCGAAGTTCAGATTCACGCAACCACGGGAGAACCACGTTGTCGCACGGCTTGCGAGGACTCGGACGGGACAGACCTGGAAAGCAACACAACAAATCACACCCCTGTGGAAAAAACGTCGGAAATTGTAAACGAGTTGGGACGGCGTATACACGAACGTTTTTGACATTGTCGCATCAAGGATCCATGATGCCTTATCCTGAAGCCTAACTTCGAGGACAAACATCATCGCATAAGAGCCGAAGACTCACGTAGAAGACCAGTAAACTGTAAAAAGACATTAGCTGCGCTTTACGTGTCCGTCGACATCCATCATCAGCAAAACCTGCATTAGATGTATTAACGTTAACTCACTCGAGCGCAAAACATGGTCCACGATCACTAGCTGTATTTACTAAACCGTATGTAGATATTCTCTCAGGAGCCACGAAGGGGGACGACGTCCAACATCTTTCATCATCTCGACGGGATTTCTGCAAGAACACACTGATATGGGAGACGCTTGCTTTTTTTTTGGACTGAAATGTAAATAGACCAGTAGTAAAAGCTGAACACGATTCTTTTATAAAGCATCTTAGGTAATAATTCATTGCAATAATGACTATTAAGAGATCTTTTATAAACACACAGTATTATATATACAGAAACGAATCTATATAATAGAGGGACATCTGAACTAAGCAGCTCAGTTATGTGTGTGTGAGAGACCATGGCATCTGTTCTGTTAACAGTTGTTTTGATATCGATGTAACGCTGTGTGTACGTGTCTTTGTCCTTTAATGAATGTCCACACATTTCACATGTCGCACAAACACACACACGAGTGTGAACGCCGCACCGCATCGCACACCAGGATCACATGACTCCTGACTCTCACCTTTGGTGTTTGGTTTGGTTTTTGTTTTTCTCTTTGTACCCACCAATTCAAATAAAACTGGAACATTTATACAATAAATGCACATCTTTTTTCTTTTCATTCATTAAATAAGCAAATATCAATGCAATATGACCCAGATTTACAGTTTGATTCAACTGCAGTAGTTCTCGGGATAGTTAACAAAAATATATTTACTTACCCTCATGTCCTTCCAAACCTGCATGACTTTCTTTCTTCTGTGAAACACAAAAATATATGTATTTATATACACTGTCCGAACAAAAAGAGTCGGTTTTGCTTAAAATTGAATTTTATACCTTCAAATGGTCTTCGTTTCCTGTTTACACGTCTGGGCTTCGGGGTCAATACGACCCCAAAAATTGATTGAGTAATTGTACAAAAAATATACATTTTTAATCATACAAATAATATATAATTTTTTTTGTTTACTTCTCATCTATTCATTAATTCTGTGTTTTTGGAGATATAAAGTACTTTTGTATCCATATACCACACAATTCCATAACTACACCATTAGCTTGCATATGAAATATAATTTTTTTTATGATACAATGCATTTATGCTCTATTTCTGTGTAAAAAATTTCAGATTTATGCCAGATTTTTTTTTTTTTTTTTTTTTTTTGATACATGAAGAAAATATATTTAGTTTTTTTTATTCACATTTCCTATTCATTTCAATGTGGGGTCATATTGACCCCGAAGACCAGAAGTGTAAACATTTTTTTTGACATACCTTCAGAACAACCGAATCAAGCCCAGTTTTTGTGTGTGTATAGATAGATAATGTGTGAAAAGTCACAAAAGTACTCTCATGAGAGTTAGTTGAAATGTAGTTGAAAAGT